TATATATATATATATATATATATATATATATGTATAATGGATATGTTTTATATATATGTACAATTAAAGTGATGCTCAGGCAACTGTCATGGGATTGCCGCCACTGTAGCTGACAAAGTAACGCGGATCACCAAAGATCTGCAACGAATAGATGACATCAAAAATATATGAAAAAACATTTCTAAATATTGAAAACTAAACACTAAATAAAAAAATAAAAAATAAATAAAAATAAATACGTTATAAAAAAAACTAAAATAAAATTAATAAATAAAAATTAGTTTGTTAATAAAGGAAATACATATATACAATTCATTTTGTAGAAACTTTCATTTTTAAATTTAAGTAATAAAAATTGAAAGGCAAAACCAACAAAATAATTAACAAAACGCTTTATAAACATGCAGTTAAATTTATATATATTAAATACTTACATATTCGTTCTTTTAAATTACTACCAATAATTATGTAAACCTTATTTCTTTTTGGTTTTAGAATAAAATGTTTATTTGCAACATAATTCATTCAGTCAGAACATTAAAACATCAATTAGATTTGTAACTAACTTATGTTAAATGTAGTATATTGTAGTATAGATTCATTGCTACACTTTCATATAGATTTTGTTGTATATATATATATTTTTTTTTTGCATTATTGCTTTACTTTCTTTTATTTTCCCATATAAAAGGTTTAGAGTTAGAAAGAAGCCGTACATTTGTTTAGATCTAGTTCTATTTGTAGTTCAAGTTCTAGTTCTATTTTGTGTTTTTAAATATAAGACCATACATTTGTTATAGCATTCACCCACGTACACTTACAAACACACATACACGCACACATAATACAGACAAAGAGAAACAGAGATATGTATTGGGAGTATAAGTGAGATAAAGCGCAATAAACATCAAGTTACATAGACAGCTTAAATTAGTTAACATTTTGATAGGAAAAGTACAACATAAATATCATATGAACCGCTGATGGATAGTTCATTTTACATAGAATATGTATATCATCTATCTATTTATATATGTATCTATATATATTGTGTGTATTGCATTTTGTTCGTTATTTTGTTGGTTGTTTCTTACAGTGGGCAACATTGTAGCTAAGACTGCTCTACTAAAACATAGAGTAGCCTCAATTTTTGTATAAATATATCTATTTTTTTGTGTGTGTTTTTCTTTACTATATGTAAAGTTATGCGGACGGCTATTTCTATTTTTGCTACTGTTTTCATTTCCAGTTTCCAATTTTCGCAATTTTTTTTGGTTGGTTTAACAATACATAAATATTACAATACAATTCATCTCAATTTTCTAGTTTCAACATTAGCTGAATACCAGTTCAGCTCTTTTAACAATTTTTCCTTGAACATTTGGAAGCTGTTGGTGGTGACCCTTATTTTTGATGTTTTCTTATGTTCTATGGGTTTCTCAATGATATTCTAGATTTTCTTTTTGTTTTGTTTAGGCTGTGACGCTCACCTTCGTATCGTCTAGATCTTCGATATCACTGCTATCATAATCGCTATCGGGCGGCGTTAACGTCTCTGCTCCCCGTTTCTCCAATATGTTCTGCATGCGCGATTTATTCAATATGCTGGCCACCTGATATGCCGTTAGTCCAGCATATGTTGCTGTCTCCAGGTTAAGTTTCTCGCATTCATCTAGCAGAAAGTTGGCCAAATCCTCGTTGCAGCACTCGATGGCAATGTGCAGAGGTGTGCGTCCGCCCTTGCCCTCCTAAAAGAACATAATTCAAATGTGACTCGTTAATAAAATTCATTACATTAGCGATATACGCAGAGCATAATAAATCAACCAGTTTAAAATATAGTATCGTATGGTATAATTTATTACGCTCAAATGATCAATTGAACTTGGAATAACTCCTCTCTGTTTCACTTACCCTAGCATTAATGTCCGCGCCGTGAGCTACCAAAATGCGTAAGATATCAATGTGTCCAGCGCCAGCAGCCAAATGTACGCAGCGTTCACCTGCAACAAAAAGAAAAGAAATTTCAAATCAATAAAAATTGCTTTACGGCAAATGCATTGAGCACCACTGTGCGCTACATTTATGAATGAAATACGATCCCTGCTAAAGCGCTCAGCACAAAAGCTTCGTTGTGTTGTTGTTGAACAAGTAGCATTTTAAAATACAAAACAAAAAAAAACAGCACGACAGCCAGCAAAAGCTTTGATTGCCCCAAGAGCAGACGTGCAAAGACTGTGAGGGAGAGAGAGAGAGAGCGGGAGCGACACGAGATGTGGGGAAGGGACGGTGAAGTCAGCTCAGCGAACGCGTTTTGCCATATGTACACACACACACACACACATGCATATGCTTGACTGCGTGTGCGTTTGCATAGGTGTGCGTTGAAAAACCCAAGAAATTCCCACAATAAAACAGCTACAACAAACAAATACAAAAAAACCAGCAGTGGCATAAAAAGCGACGGCGGCAACAAAAACAGCTATAATGCAAAAAAAAAAGAAGTACAAATAAAGTTAACAAACCCAACAAGCAGACTTTTCGCTGTATTGGAGCAACTAGTTTGCCCAAGTTCAAATTGGTTTCAGTTCAAAAAAGAGCAAAAATGTTTGCACATAATTCACACACAACAACAACAATACCTAGCAGTTGCAATAATTCAGCTGGCGTTGTACTAAACGATGCTTTTATAATTATAAATAAATAAATATACAAAAAAGACAATTCTCAAATTATATCTCGCTGCTTGATCGCGCATACAGATTGAAGAGCAACAACAATAACAACAGCTACAGCTGGCAGCTCTTGCCTTGTGTTGTTTTTGTCATTGCTGTTCTGTGGTTTTTGCTGTTACACGTGCTGTTGATTGACTTTCACACACAAACACGCTCCAGCTCCAGCTGCTGGTCACAGCTGCCCGCTCATTTGCATTCAATTTCCGTAAGAACTTTGAATAAAGCGCATTTAAGCTGCGCATGCGTTGCCAACTATATAAAGGTATTTGTTTATTTTCGACCATTGCAAACGAATTGGCAACAAGTGCAACTGAACTCCTTTATCGCTTAGCTCTGCGCAAGCGTTGCCAACTATTTTTAAGCGTACCATTTTGAGTAAGTAGATTATTTATGTTGACAACAAGCTCAATTGATGAGCGATAAATGCTTATCGTTTGCACTTGAACTAGATCAACTTTTGTTAGGGTGGCTCGCATGTCGTAACAGCTACTGCTAAATGCGCATTAATCGCCGTTAGCACGACAGTTATTAATCATGTTGATGATTTAAGGTGACTCAATGCTATTTACGCGCATGATTTAATTTTATGACAACACCAAAAATAATATTCTAAATGTAGATAGTTGCTTAATTTTGTATTTGAAAAATACAATGAAAATATATAAATTTGGCAAAGGTTCCGTGTTATAAAGTGGCTCTTTCTAGAAAGAAAGAAAGCAGATATCTGGCACGAAAGTTAAAGCCGGCTCTCTTGTTGCCGTCCCAGTCCAGTTCGGAGGCTTACAAACAATAACAACAATTGTGTCACAAGTTTTAAATATAAACGATGACAACATTTTTTATTTTATTTTATTTTTTTTTTGTTTCTCTGTGCTTGAGCCAGTGATCAAACTCGATATCCGCTGACCGGAGAGAAGTCGCTGGCTAGATTTTAATACGAGCGCATAAACTCGATGAAGCGATAGTAAAAGTCAAGAGAAGCTCAAGCACAATTCCCATTGTTGTTATTGCGGATCGTTAGCATACGATTAAATACATCTTTACATAGATGCTGATACATGACTGTAGCAAATCGATAGACATTTTTTGTTTGCTTAAATATGAAATATTAATCACAGAGTTTGCCTCAAACTTTAAACTTGGGGAATTCCCAAGCATTGCTGCGTCACGCGCCTTAGATTTGAAAATTTGAAATCCGTTCCAGCTGCTAAACAGAGAGTTGCCTTTTTTATTTAAATATTATTATTATATATTATCTAAAGCTCTAGCTGGGCGGCTGCCAACAAGTCTGAGCCACAAAACTTGACAGACCCCTCATAAAAAACACCAGAAAAAGATTTTGAAAAATACAAAAGAAATAAAAAAACCAAAAGCAGTTAAACTTGAAATTGGTTTTTGGTTTCAAGCGGCGGCCTGCTTTTCAGATAATATAATAATAATATTAACGCTAATCGAATGTGAGCTTAATCAATTAATAAGAATTACGAAATTGCGCACTCCATGCAAAAATTTAATATTTCAATAAGTTTGATCTTGATTTCAATAATTTGTTTACTATTTACTATTTAGAAAAAAGAAACCTATGAGCATAATCGAAAACAAGTTTATTCCCAAGATTCTGAGTTCTATTTTAAGAAAACCTTTTGGTTTTTTACAGTTGTTTAAATTATCTGTTCTTTTATTCACTTTGTTTAACCTTAAGCAAAACCCCACAACGAGATGTTCATAAATTTATTGACAGCACAAATATTATATTAAAAGAAATTTGTGGTGGGGTTTTTGTTATTGTCTTTGGTTAATTTTAATTAATTGTGTTTATTGTTAGCAGCGTACTGTGCGAAGTTAATATTTAATAATATATATATTTTTTTATTTTGACAACAGGTTTTTGGTTTTTTTGTCTTGGATCAGAGGCAGTTCGTTGCTTGTTTGTCCTTCAGAGAGAAGTGGCAAATTCTGCAGTTCATTGATTTATAATTAAATCATAAAATTGTTTTGTTTATGAAATAATATAAGAATTTGTATATTTAGAGATTGGATAACTCAATCATCAAACGGAACCAGCTGACAGAGTAAAAAAGCTCAATTGAACCGGCTAGCGTTATCGATAGTTGGCTTGGACTGTTGGTGATCGATAAATAATGAAATTCTAATTACCAATGAATTTTACTACTTGACTTAAAACTCTTCAAATACTTAATGATCTTATTGGGAAAAATTTTTTAAGCTTTTGCCTTAGCATTACTAAGTTTTGCTTTCCTCAGCTCAAAGAACCAGGCCAATAGGCAAATGGGGAATTACCTGGTTCAGTCCACAGAAAACGTTGCCAAAGACAACTGTTTCAACAAAAGAACAATATACGCTTAATGGCTGTTTGCTTAAATGCCCCAGGCGCCACATTTCGTCAATTTGTGGTTTGAAAGTTTCTGTTTAAGTGAAAAACCCAACGTAAAACAGAAAACCCAAACAGCAGACGTTTGCCAAAAGTCAGCAAAATGTAGCTAAGTAAATTTAGCACAATTAATGCTGGATTTTCCAAAAATACATTTAACGCTATTCGGTTTTTCTCTTCATTTCTTTATTTGTTAACGTGGACAAAACTTCCAATTGGTAGACGGCTAAGAGACATCGTAGTTATGTCACGAAACCATTTGTTGACTTTCTTTTGAACGAAATGCAAATATAAGTGTTATACAGATATACAATGTATATGTATGTAGATACATATGTATGTGTGAGATCATGGGTGTATGGCAAGCGAAGGTGTGGATGATCGTGCCACGTGTGGTTAAACGGCGTAGCGTAAATACTGCATACGCGCTGTTACACATGCCTCCATATATACGTACGATATTTATACATCGATATGTGGGCAAAACCCCGCAGAGGTCAGAGACTGGCCTAAAAGGCAGTCAAGTGCTCGACAGCTGATAAAGAGCGGTAAAAGTTGCTGTTGACAATTGTGAGACAATGATTGCATTTTTGTTGTCATTATTGTTAGGGTTAAACCCATCCAATAATTTTGTAGGAGTACGAGTACAAAGTGTGTCAACATTGCCTGATCACCATATAGAGAGACACGTTTCATTCAAGTGTCTACAACTTCCGTTGTGATAAATAATTAAGCCTATATATGTATGTATATATATAGATATTATTATAATCGGTCGGGCAGACGCTTGACCTTGCCTCTACGGAGAGAAAGAGCAAAGAAAAGCTGATTTACAATGAGTAACAAAGTTGTTGTTGTTGTTGTTGATGTGATGTAAATTTCATTGGCAGTCAACAAAAGCAATCTACAGACTTCCAGAATATGTTAGTAAATAATCATTTCATTTTTTATTGACGTTAGCAACAATTGTGGGTTAAACCTGTTTGTTTACGTATGAGCCAGCAGCGGGCAATCCAAAAGTACAACAAAATTAAATTTATTGAAAGGCGACATTCGAAACCGAAGAAATGTGCTTGAGATTAAAGCATACGTCTTGCTTCCCTATACGAACAGCTGGAAGTGGAAGCAATAGACGCCGCTCGTGAGAACATAACAGAACATAATATATGTATGTATGTATGCTTAAGTGCGAAACAGCTTTAAGCAAACTGGCGTATGAGGAAATTCAATAACTAACTATAATCTTAATATGTACTCAACTGTGTTTTTAAGAAAATTTGAGATTATTAACCTACTGCCTTGATTATTTAACTAATAATTGAAACACTTATCCTTACAAAATTACCATAACTTCGATAACTATCGAAAAATATTACTATAATGCCGGCAACAATTTGTTGTTGAATACGATCAACAGACATTAGAAATTATAATTTAGGTAAAGAATTTGTCGGACTAGCCAATAAGCATGACGTCAATAATTATCGATAACAATCTCTAGACACTTACTATATATGCATATCAATAACAGACTGTCAAGTAAATACTGCAAATGGCGATGATTATCGTCATAGAAAAAAGGCAGTACTTATCATTGATAATTAAGAAATAAACAAATACAGGGAAAAAATCAGCTATTGGCAATGGTAACAATCCATATTAAGCAGCGTTGTGGAAAATTTTATTACAACACCATATAACAACGAGCCGATAATTATCGACCAAATAAACTTAAGCTCTGGGTTCAGTTCGGTTGCACATCTCATCACCAGCTAACGATCAATTACAAATTGTGTTAATTTATTAACTCGATCATTTAACTAACATCGCATGTATTTATTTGACAGTTAGGAAAAGTTGTTCAGATCAAAGGCCGCAATCCACAGATTTGAATATATATATACATATATTCCATCTATACGGGAATACTTAAATATTATGCAATTCCATAAACAACTAGTTTGTAACATACGTCATTTTGTTTATTGCCTAGCTTGATCAATTAGCTTTCTTACGTTTCAACGATCATTCCAACGTACAATGGCATTCCCCACTCAATTACGTACTATCTGAGTAAAGGTAGTAAGTATAATATATGCCTGTCGTACCAATGTGTGCAAAGCCCCATATTGTTTTGAAGGTTGAGATAGAACATTCGATATCGTTTTGCTGATATCGTAGGAATGAAAGGAATTTGGCACGTGTTGCAAAAACCAGACAATAAATTAAGATATTTCAGATTTGTTATATTTGTTCTTGACATATCGAAATCAGGTAAGCAAGGAAATAAATATTGAAAGAAGTTATACATTATGATTACTAATGAATATATGTATGTTAACTTTCTGTATCACGTTTATACGACAACATGTTGGATGTTAGATCTAAATCACATATACAAAACAATCTACATTTATCGATAAGATAACGATAAGATACAAAATAAGAAACTGTTATTGAATTAATATCCCTAATCGCCTCGATCTTCCATTCACTTTATATGTCATATAGACCTGCCAGTCCTTGTCCCAGGGGGTACCTCAAAAAAGTTTATGGGAAAACCGTAGATAGCACTTATCACAGTGATAACACAGTTTTACCTATATATGTATGTATATACACTTATTATAATCACCGTCATAGCAATAATAAACGACCACCAATGGGGTTTTTCTAGAATTGATAACAGATTGTTGGCTTAGCGACTAAAACACAGGCAATATTCTCCTCGTATTCGTATTGACATTTCTAGGTAGCATTATCTTTAGGGATATAGAATTTTGCTTATCACAGTTAATAAATGGGGAAATACGAAATAAGGCGCAAAGCTGTTTGCCATTAAGGTTTTTTTTAGTTTGCATTTGGGAACTTCTTTAAATTTTTTCCCGACAACAGATGCCATTGCCATATGTTCCACAAATGAGTCTCAATCAACATATTGTGCGGTTTATCGTTCTGAAATTCCCCACAAATGTGCCTTGAGTGTCGATGATGTCAAAAACGTTCTTAGCTTGTAGCGTTTCAAGACTATGAAAAAATATCAAGGGATCATTACCAGTGAAGTTGAAAAGCATTTTCTAGTGAACTTTTCTACAAAAAAGCTAAGTCTGAATTACGAAGTAAAATATGAAGAGTTTAAATGGGTCATCTCAATATTAAATATTTACATAGAGATTAGATTAGCTTGCTGTATAATTACTTCTTGCAATTTCTCATTTAAATTCAGTAAGTCTTAAAAGTTCTAAATATAAACGAAAACTTCGGTGTGAGTACTCCAACGAAAATAAAATCATTTCAACTCCTGCCAAAAAGGAATTCGGAAATTCTATTTATAATTACGTCTTGCGTGTCTTTATTTATATTCATTGAGCTTCGAGCAAATGCCATTGCGTGCGTGAAAGGAGCTACGAATATACTAGTATATATAAATAACATATGTACATAAATGTGGATGGATATGTATGTAATATGTAATGTATTGACCTCGCTTTTAAACAGAACGATATTACAGAAATAGCTGGGAATTTCCAGGCAGCCCCAAAGAAATTATATATTTACTTAAAAGAATGTGTAACACTCTGTTGTATACATATTTACATATGCAAACAGAAATATGTATGCTAAGTTGAGTTTGCGATAACCTTTTGAACTGTCTACAAAAGGTTATTGAAATTATGTATTACGCCTGAAAGAGCTTACAGTATAAATGTTCTTGTTTCCGACAAGTTTACTTTATCGCTTTTAGAAATCTTGGCTAAATGCCAGCACTGCTAAAGCATTCGATTATTTTTGTAACATTTTCCACATTTCTTGCATTAAATGGCAAAACAAAAATAATGGAATTTCTTGAGACAAAAATTGTTGAGCTAAATTTAACAGCTAAGCTAGATGAGCTCATATGTTAGATAAAAGAGCAACAATAGAATGAACACTCCCTTAACCTATGTTAACTAACATTTACGTAGCTACTGCTAATTAACGTATGTTAACTTATTCAGCTTTATTCCTTATCTGCTATTTCATTTTGATTACGCTCAGGTTTTTCTTGACAAAACAATATGACGAATTGTTGTTTTTCCCTTTTACTGTGTCAAAATACTAGGAAATTTCTATCCAACTGCTCAGCCTATTTCTTTTGTTTTCCTTTCTGTTTCTGATTTCTACATACAGGATCCAATACAGTTCATGCGTAACCATGACGTCAATTGAACAAGAAAGTCTTGTGACTTTTTGTACGAACCCAATTGAATATGATTTTATAACATCTGGCAGCGAGTAGACGTTCGGAATTGCTTTTTAAAATTATATACATACATGGATATGTATACAGAGAGAGAGAGAGAGAGAGAGAGGGAGATATGTAGAGAGCTTAATGTGTCTGCTTTGTGCATGGGAAAACCCAAAAATTTGAAAGAAAAAGCCGTCGTCGTCGTCGTCGTCGTGTTGTTCGTGTCATCGTTTTCGCTTTGCTCTTTGATACCCTATCAAATAGCTGTGAGTAGCTTAATTTTGACAGACATTACGTCTGGGAAATACTTGATCATATGCTCTATCCTATTTCCTCCCAATAGTTTCACAAAAAGTAACGCAAAAGTTGTTCACCCTTAATTGAAGATTGCAATATAACTGCAATATGGAAAACACCTTAAGCGAAGATCCCATAGGGGTTATCTATGATTGACTTGGAATTTACAAAAGATTTCGATGGCACTAGGAAATTAAAGAATTTTATAGACCATAGGATATGAGTTAATATAGTATGGGGAAGGTTTTAATGTATTTATTCAATATTATACCGCTATATTTTTTTTTTGCAGATTTTTGAATGCAAAGAAAGGGAAACTATGGGTCCTCCTACAGTCTTTGCTTCCACCTCTAATTTTAGCCATTTTTGTTGCTGTTTGTCTGCATAGAGCTAGCCATAGCTGTTTGTTTGAATATTATGTGCAATGTCTGCTCTGCTAAGCATATACATACATACACATACACACACACACACACTCTCTTAGTTGAGTGTTCAGCAGCTGTTTCTCATTTATGCGCGAAGGCATGCATAGACCGGTTTGGTCTTGTTAAAAGTAGCTGCCAAATGTTTGTTCACCACATGTTTGAAACCGATCAATTTTCGTATTTTTAGCAAGGTTACAGTACAAAATGAAACGAAAATCGATTAAACAAACGAAAGGTTAAAGCAAATACAGCGAAAAGTGTGTGTGAGTGTGTGTGTGTGTATGTGCTTCTGTGTAGGGGGAGGTTATAAAAATGTAGCCTCTGAACATCTCAGTCAAGTTTATTAACCTTTTACGTGTCGACAGTTGCGCAAGCTTCAACTCTTGTGCCTGAACAATAACTGTTTATATGTATATACATACATACGTATATTTTTTTATGTGGGTATACTTATGATGACTTTTACTTTCTTCCGGCTTAGATCTGTTTTATAATCTTTTGCAGTTATTTCTTAAAGTGGGAAACTTTTGGCGCATAAATATAATCAAAGGCGAATTTTAATTGACGTATTTCGCGCACACCTTTTTTGCTTCGAACCCCACCCACCTGTTGAAAATCAGTATGTTTATATATAAACTAATTTGTATACAAATAAATCAATAATAACAATCAAGGAAATAAGGCCGTCAGCTATATATATACACATGTATGTATATATGTATATACATATGTATATAATCGTAAAAGAATCTGTGTGAGCTGCAAATGAAATGAGCTGGAAAGCGAATTTAATATCTATTTTGTTTTGTTTCCTTGAAGCTTGGAAGATTTTGTAGACACAAACAAATTATAAACAATACCGAACCCTGCTGACGTCAAGCAGAAAATCATATTATACATACATACATATAGAAAGAGAGGTATACATACAATCAATAACTATGTGAAAAACGTAAATGAGAAATTTATTTGCAGGCGCAAAAATGCGCAGAGACCAAAATGTATTTTTGGCACGCCTATACCTATATAGTATATAGACACATATATCTGACACATATGTATATAGATGTCTATAGTCTAGCTGTATCTGTAGACTTGGTGTCTTATATAAATAGTCTTAGACAATGTCTCGCCGTTGGCGGGACAGCTAAAATTTTAAAGCTACATATATGATAAATTCAAATTTGTTGGCATCGAATCAAATTCTTTTATTATTTGTCGGGCATGTTTGCCAAATATATTAAACTATATATATGGATACATCTAAATATATTTCTCAATAATTTTTACTGCACTTATTGCAAACAATTTGGCTCAAAGTATATCTTTATACTTGTTTTTCTGTGAAAACTTAGAATAAGTTTGATTAAGTGGTTCACTCAAATGAACTCTCTTCAAGAGATTCCTTAATATGAACTATTTATATACCGAATTTCGAACCCCTTTTTTTTACATATTTATATGATTATATCGTTGTTTTCGTAACTTACCATCATAGTTGCGTATCTCCAGATCGGCAGGTAGATGGGCATAGCTCAAAGAGCTGACAGCCTTGTCATTGGATCGATGTCCGTATTGGCGATGTGCCTCGTGTATCTCGGAGGCGCCAAATTTCTCTGTCAGAGCGCGCACGCATTGTTTCTCACCTGCAATACAGGACAGGTGCAACGCCGTATTGCCATGACGATCACGTACTGTGGGCTATTGATTGACAGATTGCAAAGATAAATAGATAGACAGATAGTTGGATTAGAATGATTTAGCCTTCGCTATTAATTGAATGGGTGCGGCTGCTCACCTCGGCACCGGCTAACAGAAGCATGCGCAGAATTGCTGGCTGCGCTGTAAGTGCGGCCAGATGCAGTGGCGTCTGTGCCACATCGTTCTGGATGTTTAGGAGGCATGGATGTGGAGCCATGCGTATCAGAGCGGCAACCACATCCACATAGCCCGATATGCAGGCCAAATGCAGTGGTCTGTAACGACAGAGAGAGAGAGAGAGAGAGCGAGAAAGAGACAAAGAGGGAAAATAGATTAGTAATGGGCAACGATCTGGAGACTGTTTTGAGAAATGAGCTAAACTTAATGGAAAAGCAGGAAACTATGTGTTGGAAAATGTATAAAATCTATAAAAACTGTATAATAGGAACTACTGACTTGTTGAAATAAACAGACATTATTTTTGTTACAAGTCCCATAAAGCCTCGAATACGCACAGACTAACCAGTGTTGACTAACGTGGGTAGACTAATATGTTTTACCTGCACATTTTCCACACTTGTTTCATGATCGTTTCGCCTGTAAAAACCCACAAAATCGAGCGACCCAAAAACCTGTTCAGGTAGTTGACATACCAGGAAAACCCCTGACTGCCTGACTAACATGTGTCTGTAGGCGACTCGCTTTGATTCGATCCGAGTCGACGTCTCATTGTCTTGTGTTTTCTCTGTGTGTATTTGTTGTGATTCATGAAAGTATCCCCAGACATTCACACAGTTGGTGGTCGGGTCAAGTTAACATTTTTATGCGAAAAGAATCTCTAAATACCCTATAGATATTTTATATTTATAGATATTATATTTAGACGCATATCTTATAACTATGTCCATAATCTTCTTGGTAGGTTAAGATGATATACCTTTTATGCTAAATTGATACGTACATGACATACATAGAATAAACTATTTTTATAGGTTTTCTTGGATCAAGTTATTATATGTTCGAGACCCCTATTAGCCCAGCAAAGGCCAGATATAAACAAGACACCTATTATGCACTGAGTCTAGGGTACCGTTGAATCACCCACAACTGTCTCTCAATAACTTTCTTATAATTTAGTATTTTGTTCCGCCTTTTTTTGGGTATTTTGCAAACGGAAATACTTTTGTTTTTGATATATTACTCACGTGTCGCCATCGTCGTTCTGTTGATAGAATTGCTCCCAGGCGTTCATGATGTTAATGTTGCTGGTGTTGCTTAGTGGTGCCGTTGCATTTGCAGTATTCCCAGCTGCATTTGTTACTGTTGTTGTTGTGGTCTGAGGTGCGCTTCTTCGTCCAGCGGAGCTGTTGGCATTTGTTGCTGCTGATATATTGAGATTGTTCATACCGAGGCTTGACTGTACAGTCCATTGGGGTATTCCCGAATCGACATTATGTTTGAAGCGCATTTGCTCGCTGGCCGGCTGCTCGACGCCAGCTTCCGTTTGATTTGTTGCTGTTGTTGTTCCTGCTGTTGTCTTTTCCTTCTCTTCCTCGTGCTCCTCCTCCTCGAGCTCGTCGATGATGCCCGAATCGAGCACCGTTTTCAATTTGTCTGACTTCTGATCTTGGCTTTGATCCTGTCGCTTGTCCTGCTCCGACTCCTTCTTTTTCTCCTTCTCCTGTTGATGTCCTGTTTCGTCGTCACTTATTTCACCGCTAAATATTTGCGATGATTGGGGACCGGAGATGAAACCAGAATCGCTTGTTTCGCTTTGTGCTGCAAATTCTTTGTTCTTGTTAATGGCGGCTTCGCTGCTTTGTTGTTGCTCGCTGCTTTTGCCGCCAAATGATGATGATGTTGTTGTTGTTGTTGCTGCTGCTTGTTTACTGTTAGCTTCAAATGCAGCTCTTTGCTGCTGTTGCTCAACACTGACAGCTGTGGCAGCGCTGGCAACGCCACCAACAGCACAGCTACAATCCTCCACCGTTTCCTTAGCCTTGTTATTCTCACTTGTTGCTGCTGTTGTCGTTTGGTTCCACATTTTGAACTATGTTGCCTGCCTGTTGGCCTTTGCTTTTATTATTGATTTGAATAAAGTTACTTTGCTGATTTTGGTTCTTTTGCAATTTATTTGCCAACGTCTCGTATTCTTTTTTAAACTGTAATTTGTCGTTGTTTCTGTAAAAATTTCTTTAACAATTTAATGGAAATTCACACACTGAACTTTGCTTTAAAGCTTTAACAAGCACTCACTCACACTCAGACGCTCTCTCTCACACACACCTAGATATCATTGCATATACATGTACATATATGAAGAGCTCGCGTAACTGCGCTTTAAGCGTCTCTCTGATACTAGCCTCGGACGCCGTGTGCGCGACTGAAACGAATATATAGTGCTCAACACAAGTGAAAACGCAATAACAGATTAGCGCATGTTCAAAGTTATGATTAGCAACAACAAAAATTGTTGTTTCTGCTGCTCATTGGATAATTAGAAAAATTCCATTTGCATAGGCATATGTAGACAAAATTTATTTCAAGTTGTCTGCTTTATTTTCAGCCTGTGCAGCACCTGTCTTCGTTTCCCACACACACATTCAGGCGCAGTAACGCGAGCAGCTACAGTAACACGTACACATATACACCACAATAACACATACACACACACGTACAATCAAGCAGACACGCTGATGAATTGCTTCTGCTTGTTTTTTTTTTTTTTGTGTGCAATTGCACATAAATTATAAGTTTTTCTCTTTTGTTTGTTTAATTTATGTATTTTGGAATTTATATTATCATTGTAAGCTCTTTGTGCCTCAACACAATCACACACCTCTTTAATTTGTCTATTGTTGTAATTTGTTTCGCATGCTGTTCCACATTTATTCGCGTTTCGCTTTTAACTTGTAGTTAATGTGACTGCGCTCCGCTTTAAAATACATACGTCTCGACTCTTTCACGTTGAAAATAGCACTACATTTTTTGCGTTAAAGCTGCTTTAATTTAGCTTTGCGACGATATTTACGGTAAAGCTTTGATGGTTGGGGGAAACCAAGTGGCGCTGCCGGATCGGCGTAATAAAAGCTTTCGGTGTAAGGCGCGCAACGTTAGTAACCAAAGCTTCGATTTAAATGCGGAAGCACTCAAAATCAACAGCAATAGCAACAACAACAACAAATCCCACATTGTATACAAGAACAGCAATTATTTAAAAGACAACCATACCATATGTTAGAATTCTTTTGCCTTGTCGCAACGGATGTGACCTGCTCCGCGTCCCAAACTGAAATGAACACAGCAGTTCGACGACATTGACGTCGACGCCTGGACGAAGAAAAGAACAACGAAAAATGGCTGCAACGCTGCAGCAAGAAATAAAAGGAAGAGATGTTGCCAGATGCAACA